CCTACTCAAGCCCTGCCTTTGTAGCCTGCCCAGTAAGAGAGGTGGTTGTGGTTATGGCCTCCTGGATAGTTCTGTAGCTTGTCCCTTTACGGCCAGGGGCAGGGATTGAACCACTGCCCTAGGACCTGAGTGAATGATGTCTACATTACTCACTTGCCTTGCCTTTCTCAAGCTCTCCCTGATTCTTCTGTCGTCAGTAAGGGCTCAGTATGGGTCCTCCACGCCTTACATCATGTGGGAGTCAGAATGAAGGTGTCTGGACCCTGAAAATCACTTCATCAGCCGCCACACTGGGCAGAGCTCAGGTTGGCTTAGCTCGGGGAGTAAGTGGCCGGTTGCTGCCCAGGCTGCAGCCTTTTCCCAGTTTCCAAGAGAGGGCGCTCCTGACCATCTACAACAGTACCAGGGTGGGCTGTTCACAGTTTTGGAGGCTGGTACTTCCCATCTTCAGGCAGCAAGACAGAAAATAAACTGAGAGCTGAGAAATGATGAGCCCTAGGTCAAAGCTGATGGTGCGGCACTCGGTGAGGAGGCCCCCGAACCACTCTGTCACTGGCCAGGGTGTGGCTGGCCAGTCAGGAAGTGCTGAGGGCAGGGGCACACAGAATGGTATTTTGGTCAGAGAAGATGGTTGCTGTCTCTGACTCCCACTTGAATATTTGACACTGTATTCTAGCTCTCCAGATGGGGAAGGTGGTTTTTTGTTTGTCTTATTACTTATTATCTTGGTTTTTCAAAACAGTTTTTCTGTGTAGCCCTGGCTGTCCTGGAACTCACTCTGTAGACCATGCTGGCCTTGATCTCAGATCAGCCTGCCTCTGCCTCCTGAGTGCTGGGATTAAAGGTGTGTGCCACCACCGCCACCCAACATTTTGTTTCAATTTACCGATACCAACTCTTGGGTCAGGAACAAAAAAATTACCGACTGGATTCAGCAGATGAGGTACAGGCAGTCAGTCAAGCTGTCACGGTGGATTGCACACTGGAGCCCAGCCAGGCCAGTTAACCAGCCTATAGCACAACAGACCTCAGAGCATTGATTTTTTGGTTTTTCATGTGTATATGTACGTGTTGGGGGGGGGGGTGTCGACCAGAGGACAGTGTCTGGTATCCAACTACTAGTTTCTGCCTTACCCTTCTGAGACAGGATCTTTTTTTTTATTTTTTATTTTTCTGTTTTTTTTTCGAGACAGGGTTTCTCTGTGTAATTTTGGGCCTGTCCTAGCTCGCTCTGTAGACCAGGCTGGCCTCAAACTCACAGAGATCCACCAGGTGCTGGGATTAAAGGCATGCGCCACCACCGCCCAGTGAGACAGCTCTCTTACTGAACCTGGAGCTTGGGGTTTTTTCAGCTGGGCTGGCTTGCCCCCAAGCCTTGGGGATCTCTGGCTCTGGCTCCCAGCATTGGGGTTACAGGCACACGAAGCCACTCTTGGCTTTTGTGAATAGGTGCTGACCAAAGGGCCCCGTCTTCCCGCCTGAGGGAAGCAACTGTTCCTTAGGGAAGGGGCCTTTGTGATCTGCTGAGCACTGCCTCCTCCAGCCCAGTTCCCCTCCAGCTCAGAGCAGAAGAGTTTACAACATCCTGGCCAGGCCCCTCCCTCACCACTGGTAAATAAACTGCAGAGCACCCTCTGTGAAGACAAAGGTCTCTTCCTAGCTCCCCAGCTCCCAGCCCTGAAAAGCCACAGCAGGTTTCTGTGGGCAGGAGGGGGCAACCCCAACACTGCCAGGTGTCTCCCTAGAGACAGGGCACCATATAGCAGCTATGTAGGAAGCAAAATAAATTGGAACTGCGGCTCTAGGCTCTGGACTTGCAACTCTGGGCACCAGACTCAGGATGGAGGGGTGAGAGCACTGCTTTTCAGCCTGACCCTCCAAAGACCATCCGAGCTGACAGAGCGGGACACAATGAGATGGTGGCCCGAAAGGAGTGGACTCTCTTCCTCACCCGAGTGCTTCCCAGACACGCAGGGGACCTGGACTTAGCAGAAGAAACAGGAATGATCGGATGGATAATGGGATAGTGTCAGGACTCTCCTCTCTTAGAGGCTAACCTTGTATCCCAGGCTTGCCTTGGATGCTGAGACTTAGCTCCTCGCTACTCCTGCACCCAGAGGTTCCCCCAGGAAAATGCAGATGAAGATCCTTGTGTTGCCTCCTCTAAGTGAAGTATGTGCTAGCATCCTGCAGCCAGGCAAGGGGCCTGATGTGGCTAGAATACAACGGAGGGAAAGAAGCGTGGAGAGGCAGGAACATTATGCCCTGAGCCTTAGGCTCATTGGTTAGACAGAGCAAGGGAAGCTGGGTAACTGGTGCATGACTCCCTTGCTCCCTATGCTTTTCTTGATCATAATGGTGTCCCCAGAGAGAGCTTCTCTATGAGGCTGCCCAGGGACCCATCAGTAAATCCCGCGGCAGTCAGCCTATGTGCCCGACTGACAAAATGACCAGGACAGATTTCACCAGCAGACTGCGTTGTGCTTGGGGCCCTGAACTATTTAGCCCTTCAAGTCTTGAGTGCCCTGGAAAACTCAGCTTTTCCCATATCACTCTTAGTGTTTGCTGAGCGCCCACTGGGCAGGACAAGGAAAAGGCTACGAAACCCCCGGGGCTTGAAAGTCCCACTTGGCTTCTGTGTGCAGACCCCAGGCCAGGAAGGCCTAAAAGGGAAGTGTGACAGGGAAACAGTGTAAAGGGTGTGAACATACACGGGGGAGGAGAGAGAGCTAAAACCTTTGTCCTCGAATTCTTTCAATGGCCACCAAGCTATTGGAGGCCTCAAGAACACTGCTTGCATTCCCACCAAAGATGGCTAGCTTTCCCCTCAGGAAGCAGCTCCCTGTCCTGCCCCTTTCCATCTCTTCAGGGGCCTGGAAAGGACAGCTTTGGTTCTCTTGAGACAGGCCTAACTGGCCTCCCACCCCTACTCCACTAGCCCAGCTGACCTCAGTACCTGTGACTATACACAGGACACCAAAGTGACTCCCTATAGACCCCAGGCCACCTTTGCCAAGGATCTGCAGGATGTGGGGAGTCTAGGATCATTCTCTGAAGCACCAAGCAGCAAGTTCAAAGCAGAACTCCACAGTAGGAAGGTAACTGTGCACCCCATCTCTGAATGCCGTGTGCAGATGGGGGGTGTTTAGAAGTCACTGGACTTTGCATCCTCTGGGACTGCAGCCACTGCCACCCATCTCCAGTGTCAGAGTGACACCTGCTGTGTTGGTCTGGACTTTGCATCCTCTGGGACTGCAGCCACTGCCACCCATCTCCAGTGTCAAAGTGACACCTGCTGTGTTGGTCTGGACTTTGCATCCTCTGGGACTGCAGCCACTGCCACCCATCTCCAGTGTCAAAGTGACACCTGCTGTGTTGGTCTGGACTTTGCATCCTCTGGGACTGCAGCCACTGCCACCCATCTCCAGTGTCAAAGTGACACCTGCTGTGTTGGTCTGGACTTTGCATCCTCTGGGACTGCAGCCACTGCCACCCATCTCCAGTGTCAAAGTGACACCGGCTGTGTTGGTCTGGACTTTGCATCCTCTGGGACTGCAGCCACTGCCACCCATCTCCAGTGTCAAAGTGACACCTGCTGTGTTGGTCTGGACTTTGCATCCTCTGGGACTGCAGCCACTGCCACCCATCTCCAGTGTCAGAGTGACACCTGCTGTGTTGGTCCTCCTTCTAGAAGTCAGACTTCCGAAGTTTGGGTCGATCTGCCTGGGCCTTCACTGAGTACCCCCCAACCAGATCTGCCTGGGCCTTCACTGAGTACCCCCCAACCAGATCTGCCTGGGCCTTCACTGAGTACCCCCAAACCAGATCTGCCTGGGCCTTCACTGAGTACCCCCAAACCAGATCTGCCTGGGCCTTCACTGAGTACCCCCAAACCAGACTCTGCCTGGGCCTTCACTGAGTACCCCCAAACCAGACTCTGCCTGGGCCTTCACTGAGTACCCCCAAACCAGACTCTGCCTGGGCCTTCACTGAGTACCCCCAAACCAGATCTGCCTGGGCCTTCACTGAGTACCCCCAAACCAGATCTGCCTGGGCCTTCACTGAGTACCCCCAAACCAGATCTGCCTGGGCCTTCACTGAGTACCCCCCAAACCAGATCTGCCTGGGCCTTCACTGAGTACCCCCCCAAACCAGACTCTGCCTGGGCCTTCACTGAGTACCCCCCAAACCAGACTCTGCCTGGGCCTTCACTGAGTACCCCCCAAACCAGATCTGCCTGGGCCTTCACTGAGTACCCCCCAAACCAGACTCTGCTGCTGTTTCTAGTTTGAAATACATCAAGAACCAGAAGTTAATGTGGGTTCACTGTGTTTGATGGGCTAGAAGAAGCTGTTTGCCACCTACCCTGGCTCACCACTGAAAGGATCCTTCTATTCTAGGGCAGGAGGGACATGGCTGAGCCTATTGTCCCACAAGCTACCACATAGCCATCTCTGGGACTATAGCTGGCTCCCTCTCCCTGTGGCAGCAGGTGAACCACATGGCTAGCTGCTTCCTCTACTCCACCTCCCGGGCCCAGCCCCTGGACCCTCAGGGGACCCAAGGAGGAAGCAGCAGTGACACTCTAGAATCTGAAGTTCTAAACACTTCGATCCTTTAACACAGTTCCTCTTGTTGTGGTGACCCCCCCCCCCACCATAACATTATTTTTGTTGCTACTTCATAACTGTAATTTTGCTAGTGTTATGAATTGTAATGTAAATGTCCGCTATGCAGGATTGTCTTAGGTGACCCCTGTGAAAGACTCATTCAATCTCCAAAGGGGTCAGGGCACCCCCAGGTTGAGAACCACTGCTCTAGAACGTAAGCCCTCCTCACTTCCTCTAAGGGGTGGTGTCGATAAATCTCCTTAAAACCAGGTCCCTTCCTCAGTTCTTGCTCTGGAGGTCTCTTCTTTTCTTTCAGTGTACACGAGCAAGCATGGCTAGGAAACAGAGCAGTATGCAGCCTCATCTGGCCTTGTCCCCAGATGGCACAGATGCAGGACTCCAGCTGGCTTTATTGATGCTCCTGTCGGAGCTACCGAAGGGTTTCCAGCAGTCACAGCACAAAGGCTCCTGCAGAGTCACCATCCACAGGCCTGTTCTGTGGGGACCTTGCCCTCACCCTGACCCTTGACTTCTGCTATCACATGTTCCTGTGACCTGGGCTCCAGGCTCCATCCAGTCAGAAGGACTTCAAAGCATGGCTACCAGTTTGAAGGTTCCCTCAGGTTTGGCAGGAACCACGTGGACGAAAGTCTTGTAGAGCACAGCACCCTTGGGCAGACTGGTGACCAGATCCACAGCCTCCGAGTTTTTGGGATTGGGCACGTAGACCTCTTTCGTGTAGCGGACTATCCCCTCCTCCAGGGCATAGAGGCACTTGTTCTTCCCAAGTCCCACCTGCAACACACAGACCTGGTCAGCTGAAATTTGGCAGGTGCTCTGCCCCAAGGCCTCAGGCCAGATTCTCCTTCAGAGGGAAGTCTGGAGCAGAAGGGCAGGCTCTGGGAAGTCCCTCTCAGGTCTCTCTTTCCTGCTTGGCACTTCTTTGCCTCTGCTCCTTCACCAGCTCCGCAGGAGAGGAGGGAAAAGAAAACACCCAGACACGGGTAATAGCAGTAATGTCAACACAACTTGGCAGAAGCGCCAGCGGGCAGATCCCCAAGCCAGGCCCACAAAAGAGCCACAACTCACTGCCTGAGAGCATGCTCTGTTTACAGTTATAAAGTTTAGGTTCCACGGAAAATACAGATCAAGGTTGTGGGGTCCTGCGTATGCTAATAAAACAGTAATGGCATCGGCTAATACACACAGTGCTTATACAGTAAGTGCTCACAGTTAAGTCCTGAGGTTAACATTATACTCATTTCCTACCTAGTGCATTAGATATAGTCCCAACCCCCTCTTCAGATAATACAAAGTGTTTTAATAAATAATTTAATAGAGATTTTTTAAAAGATTTATTTATTATGTATACAGTATTTCTCCTACATGTTGCCTGCAGGCCAGAAGAGGGCACCAGATCTAATTATTGATGGTTGTGAGCCACCATGTGGTTCTTGGGAATTGAACTCAAAACTTCTGGAAGAGCAGCCACTACTCTTAACCTCTCAGCCACTTCACCAGCCCCTTAATACAGATTTTTAAACTGCCTATACTTTTTTTCTTTTACAACTTGAAATTAGATGTATGTTTAAAAAAAAGAAAGAAAGAAAGGAATTAGGTGTATAGTAAAACCGGATGGGCTGGAGAGATGACTCAGTGGCTAGAAGCACTTGCTGTTCTTCCAGAGGACCTGAGTTGAGTTCCCGGCACCCACAGCAGCTCACAACTGCCTGTAACTCCAGTTCCAGATAATCCAACACTTTTCTGGCCTCCTAGAATATCCACACACACAGACATAGATAGATAGATAGATAGATAGATAGATAGATAGATAGATAGATAGATAGATAGGAAGGAAGGAAGGAAGATAGGAAGATACAGGCATAGATAGACAGACAGACAGACAGACATTTCTTAAGAAAAGAAAAAGGGGCTGGAGAGATGGCTCAGAGGTTAAGAGCACTGACTGTTCTTCCAGAGGTCCTGAGTTTAATTCCCAGCAACCACATGATAGCTCACAACCATCTGTAATGAGATCTGGTGCCCTTTTCTGGCCTGCAGTCATACATGCTGTATACATAATAAATAAATAAATCTTAAAAAAAAAAAAAAGAAAAGAAAAGAAAAGAAAAAGAAAGTAAGTTAGGCATGGTAGTGCATGCCTGCAATGTCTGCCAGGACTTAGAAGGGGATCACTGTAATTTTTAAGACCAGCTTAGGATACATGGAAAGTTCCAGGCCAGCCAGAGGTATATAGCAAGGAGACCTTGTCTCAAAAACAAACAACAGGCCGGGCGGTGGTGGCGCACGCTTTAATCCCAGCACTCGGGAGGCAGAGGCAGGCGGATCTCTGTGAGTTCGAGGCCAGCCTGGGCTACCAAGTGAGTTCCAGGAAAGGCGCAAAGCTACACAGAGAAACCCTGTCTCGAAAAACCAAAAAAAAAAAAAAAACAAAAAAAAAAACAAACAAACAACAAAAACCGGATGTGTGGCAAGCCATACACAAGCAGTCCGTACCATCTGGTGTCTCTCTCTGATTAAAAGCATGAGTCTATAAGCCAGGAGAGGTGGCACCAGCTGTAATCCCAACACTCAGGTGGCTGCGACAGGAGGATGGAAAATTCAAGGCCAACTTAGGCAATATATGAAACCCTTTCTAAACAAATAAACAACAAAATAATAATAATAATACAGTTCAAATCCTAGCTCTGCTGAATACCACGTGATCTTCAGCAAGTTACTTTCCTGTGTCTGCAAAATGTGGATAAACTCCCCACTTCACAGGGTCATCTTAAGGATGGAGGGAATGGACCATGAAGAACTTGGAGCATACTTAGCTCAAACATATCAGCTTCTACTGTTATTATTTTAGTAAGAATTCACATGTCTTCCTATGGGAGGGGGTTGAGAGTGGGGATTGCTAATAGGGTCTCACTCCATAGTCTTAGCTGGCCTGGAACTCAATATGTTGACTGGGCTGGCCTTGAACTCAAGAGATCTACCTGCCTTTGACTTGAGTGCTGGGTTGAAGGCATACACCACTATGCTGGACTCGATGTTTAAAATTTTTATTTTATGTATGTGAGTGTTTTGCCTGCATGTATGTCTGTGTACCACTTACATGCCTGCTACCATTGAGGAAAGAGAGGGTATCAGATCCCCTAGAACTGGAGTTACAGATGGTTGTGAATCATCATGTGGGTGCTGGGAATTGAATCTAGGTTCCCTTAACTGCTGAGCCATCTCCCAGCTCCTTTGATGTTGTTTTTAACTGAAGGAAAAGTATTTATTGAATCTGATTCTAATAGAATAAAAATATTTCTTCCTTTTGAGTCATAAGAGGGGAAATGTCAAAATTACAAATTGATAAAAACACTGAACAGTACATGTATCAGTAAGAAGTATGCCATTTTCAGAAGATAACTGTATTTTAAGCACATTGTTTCTAGGTCCTCAGGCAGCTGCAAATGCCCCATATATCGTATCATTATATAACCCACTTGCATTTTCTATGGAAGAGAAAAATGAGGCCCAGGACATGCTATGATCTAATGTTAGGCAAATCTCGGCTTTAACTAGAGTTCCATCACTCTCTGAGCCTCCATAAAATAGAGATGATGACATCCACCTCATAGGGACAGGCTGAGGACAAAAGGCATGAACATGAAAAGGCTGCCCCAGGAAAGAGAAGGGGGAAGGGCACAGAGCAACTCACATGGGCGCCTGGGTGCCATCGAAACTGACGCTGAGTGCCAAGGATGTTACCAGCATGAACATAGTGACCTAAAGAGAAGTCCACAGGTGAGCTGACTCTGCACCAGTGTTCACAGAAGCACAGCACAATGCTAAGAAATCACAACAGCCTCCAAGCCTGCTCCTGGACAACACCTCCAAGATGGTCCTACAAAATAGCGCCTGACCCCCTCCTCCAGCAGCCTCTCTTTGGCTGCATGGCTAAGAAACCAGAAATCAACGGGGCCCCTACCCCTCCCCAGATCTCATCTGCCCCTTCAATATGGAGCCAATGTTATGATGAACTGCGAGAGTACAGAGTGAGACGCTTCGTGGTGGTTTAGCTCGTCTAAGAAAGAGCAGGGCAGCATCATGGGACGCAGCTGGAAAAGAGAACCAAGCACACCCTCACCTTCCATTTTCTTGATGCCATAGTGTTTGCCTCGCGATTTCCCACCAAGGTTCTTCGAGCTGCCGCCTGTCTTCTTGGATGCATATCTGACGGCAAGAGCTGGAGCTGCCTCGGGGCTCAACAGGGCTGTAAGTGCAGAGAAAACAGAAACACTGCTCAGAGGGGCTCCCAAATAGGATGCACTTTCTTTGCCTCTGTGGATCATTTGCTAAGCTGAGAAGCAGCAAGGGAGATGAGCAAGAGGAAAGGTGTGAAGGGAACAGGAATGCTAAGTGTATGGTATTCAGAGAATGCCTGGGCAGGGAGCAATTCATACTTGGAATGGGCCAAGAGGTAAGCATGGTGTGGGTTGGGGTGTGTGTGTGTGTGTGTGTGTGTGTGTGTGTGTGTGTGTGTGTGTGTCTGTGTGTCTGTGAGTGAGGGAGGGCAGGCAATGAGCTTAAATGGGGAAAAAAAATAAACATCATGTGCTCTGGCTCCTGACACATTCAGTCCTGCTGAGTATGGAGACAGGAGTGGACACTGGAGAGCGGCCTGCTTCAGAAATTCAGTCTCATGCCCTAGGGAAGGGCCGGACCATGGGACGTGGAAAGAGCCTTCGGCTTCCCTCACTTACCCCTTTCTTAGCTAGCCACTCACCCACTGAACACCTGTCAATTGCACACCGGAAGAACAGCCTGTCAGGGTGGTTCTGACAGGCGGCTGGTCATTTCCAAAAGGTCCTTTCCTCCCAGAGCCATCAGCAGATGTTCAACCGAGATCAGCACTACTCTGACCTCTTCACTCACCCCAAAGTGCTCAACAACATTTATATTAAAAGGGAAAATGATGTGGGAGGAGCTGAAGGGGGTAGATGTGGTCAAAATACATTGTACATATGATTACAATTCTCAAAGAATAAAAATACTTAAAAAAAAAAACATCGGGGGCTGGAGAGATGGCTCAGTGGTTAAGAGCACTGACTGCTCTTCCAGAGGACCCGGGTTCAATTCCCAGCACCCACACGGCAGCTCACAACTGTCTGTAACTCCAGTTCCAGGGGACCCTCAGACAGACATACATGCAGGCAAAACACCAATGTGCAAAAATAAAAATAAGCAAATTATTAAAAAAAAAAAAAAATGCCGGGCAGTGGTGGCGCACGCCTTTAATCCCAGCACTTGGAAGGCAGAGCCACGTGGATCTCTGTGAGTTCGAGGCCAGCCTGGGCTACCAAGTGAGTTCCAGGAAAGGCGCAAAGCTACACAGAGAAACCCTGTCTCGAAAAAACCAAAAAAAACCCCATTATCTAAGAAGCATACTAATGGGGCTGCAGAGAGGGCTCAGGTTAGCAGCACTGACTGTTCTTGCAGAGGACCTCAGTTCAATTTCTTGCACTCATGCACAGCTCACAACTGTCTGTAACTCCAGTTCCAGGGGATCCGATGGCTTTTTCTGACCTCTGTGGGTACCAGGCACACAACATGGCACACACACATACACGCATACACATAAAACTCAGGCTAACACGGGCAGTTGGCAGTCTGTTTCTAGGTCTCTAGACAAAATTATAGGATCGTGTCAGTATCTGTAGAGAAGCTTTACGGGTGTTTGAAGCATAAGCTCATGGTACAAGTTACCTACGTTTCTCAAATTCTCATGAAAACAGAAACTAGCTGGGATACAGGACTAGAGATGAGAACCTACAGAGCAGGCCAGGCAGAGTGGCACAAGAATGTCTTTGATCTCAGCACTCAGGAGGCAGAGCTAGGCGGATCTCTGTAAGTTCAAGGCCATCTGGTCTACAGAGTGAGTTCCAGCAGGACAGCCAGGCGGACAAAGTGAGACCCTGTCTCAAAAACAAACAATAAATAAAAAAATAAAAAAAAGGAAAGAGAACTTACAGAGACATGTTCAATGTCCAGCACTGGAATCTTGCTAACTTTAAACATCCACTTTATTTTCCCTGTAGCCCAAGCAGGCGTTGAACTTGCAATCCTCTGGCCTCAGCCTCACATAAAAACTGTTGTTACAGACATGTATTACCTGGCTTTAGGCACTGGCTTATGGGTGACTGACGGTTTGCTTCATCTACATTGTTTCATTAATCTTTGCTCTTGTGAAAAACAAGGGGAACCTGCAGGTTGCGTCTCTTCCCTCATTTTACAGACCAGTAAGACCTGGGGAGTCTATCTTCAGAACCCATGTCCTATTCATCTCCTTCCCTCCAAGTTCACCACCATCACCACTAATATCTTGGCCAAATTATCCTATAGCACGGCTACTATTCCAGTTTTCCGGCTGGTTTGCCATACTGGTTATTTTATTTATTTATAGCTTTTGAGACTGTGATCCAGGCTGGCCTTAGACCTGAGGCAATCCTCCTGCCTCTGGCTCCCAAGTGCAGGAATTACAGGCACCACCATTTCTGGTCCCACCTGGCTTCATTTTCATTTCTGTTTATTTGCATCCAGCCCGCCTCCTCTTAACTTGCTACTCAAAATACGTAACTAGATCAAGTCACTTTCTTGCTTTCTCTCTACAAGAGGGTTAGGTCCGTCTCTTTTAAGTCTTAATAGTTATCTCTTCAAAAGACTTCCTTGAGGACCTATTCTAAGACTCTTCACAACATTTATCACAACTACGACTAAGTTATTTACGGGTGTATTGCCTTACCTACTGAACTTACAAGGGGTTGTAATCATGTTTATGCTGATACTCTCAACAGCGTCTCACCAGACCTGAGCGTTGGTCATGGTCATGTACGCCTGAAAACTCAGCACTAAGACGCAAACTACACAGTGAGAAAAAAAAAAAAAAAAAAGCTAAGTCCTGAATAATGACTCGATTAACTTTCTTGAACTTATTCTTCTCCGTGTACGAAGGGATTCACACAAACCCAGAGGGGATGAGGCAGCCAGAGTAACGCTCTCGCCCTGCACGCCCACCCTCCGGCAGCACCGCCCACCACGGGTCACGTGGCCGGAGACAGTCGGCCTCTAATGGTTGCGATCCCCTCTCCCCTTTGGCATCCAGGGTTCACCATGAGATCCAGTTTCCATCTCCCAACCTCCCTGCTGCCTCGCCCTACAACAGCCACAGCACTGAGCTACCTGCTGTCCTTGTCCTCAGCGCAAGAACTGCCGACGCCATGTTTCCTTCGCATTCGCTTCCGGGCTGGGAAATCTGCTTCCGCTACTAGGAGCTCTACTTCCGGATCTTGCGTACAGTTCAAAAAGTGGCGGGAGCAGTAGCAGGTGAGCGCAGATCTCCTGGGGTTTGTGGCAGGTACCTCTGGGGGCTTCTGCAATGGACCGCTGGCCTCAGAGGCGGGGAGACGGACGTTTGTCCCACTGCGGGAGTCACCCGGAGCCTAGGGAGGGATCAGGATGAGGCTCAGCCAGATCCTGTGCTAAGCTGGTTGTAGATGTACAATTTCATTTAATTCCTACAAACCTAAGTTATTGGTATTGTGTTAAAGAAACTGAGATCCAAGAAGGTTTCAAGGATTATCCTAGGTCACAATAATTATTTGCTGAAAGAATGACTCATGTAATCCAGCAATTCCAGGCAGGCGTTAGTATACTCATGGGAAGTATGAAAACATACCCATTTAAAATATTTGCACAGCCGGGCGGTGGTGGCACACACCTTTAATCCCAGCACTTGGCAGGCAGAGCCAGGCGGATCTCTGTGAGTTCGAGGCCAGCCTGGTCTAGAGAGCGAGATCCAGGACAGGCACCAAAACTACACAGAAACCCTGTCTCGAAAAACCAAAAAATATTTGCACGTGAATATTTGTAGCCGCATTATTTATTATAGCCAAGAAAGGGAAGCAAACTGCCCATCAAGCAATAAATGCTTAAACAAATTGTGGCCTCTCCACGCAATGGAATAGTATTCAGTTACAGAAAGGAAGGCAGTGCTGGAGCACAGTACTGCCACAGAAGGACCTTGAAAGCATGAATGTGAAAGATACCCGCCACAAAAGGCACATACTGTGTGCTTATATGAAACATACAGACTACAGAATGGTTGTTAGGTGCTGAGAGAGGGGAAGAATGGGGAATGACTTTAATGGTTATAGAATTTCTCTTTTGATACACTCTCACTATGTCATGTAGGCTGTTCTTTTTTGTTTGTTTGGTTGGTTTTTGGTTTTTGGTTTTTCGAGACAGGGTTTCTCTGTGTAGCTTTGTGCCTTTCTTGAAACTCACTTTGTAGACCAGGCTGGCCTCGAACTCACAGAGATCCGCCTGCCTCTGCCTGGGATTAAGGTGTGCGCCACCACCACCCGGCATGTAGGCTGTTCTTGAACTCAAAGTATCCTGTATCTTCCTCCCAAGAGGGGGGATTGCAGTTGTGCACCAGCATGCCCAGTTTTTAATAGGATTTCTTTTCGTGGTGGTGAAGGCTTTCTGGAACTAGATGATGGTAATGGTTAACAATACAAACATACCAGACCCCATTAATCTGTATGAGTGATTTATTTGTTTACCTGCTAAGTGTAATGATGGGGATTAAACTCATGCTTGACTCTATACATGCTAAGAAAGCACTCTACCACTGAACTACTATTCCAACTCCTCCTACACTATATTTTAAATAATATATACTATTTCTGGGACTTATAAATGTGGATTAAAATAAAAAGTAATTATGTGAATTATTATTTTTTCTTCACTGTGTGTATGTGTATGCACACAAGCACACTCAGGTATGCATGTGGGATCAGAGGACCACTTTTGGGAGTCAGTTCTCCTTCCACCTTGTCAGTTCTGGGGACTGAACTCAGGTTAGCAGCCTAGGTGACATGTGTCTTTGCTTGTTGAGCCATCTTTTTTTTTTTTTTTTAAAGATTTATTTATTTATTATGTATACAGAAGAGGGCACCAGATCTCATTACAGATGGTTGTGAGCCACCATGTGGTTGCTGGGAATTGAACTCAGGACCCCTGGAAGAGCAGTCAGTGCTTTTAACCTCTGAGCCATCTCTCCAGCCCCTTGAGCCATCTTCTTAACCTATGTTTTTGTAAAATTCACTGATTTTTATTTGATGCGTCTGGAGGCCAGAAGAGGGCATTAGATCTTCCTGGAGCTGAAATGGCAGGTGGTTGTGAGAGCTGTCCAGTGTGGGTGCCGGGAACTGGACTTGGTCCTCTGTGAGAGCCATACAAACTCTTAACCGCTATCTCCAGCACCAGCATGTTCCTGATTTTGTTTTGTTTGTTTTTTTGTAAAGATCTCCATGTTAGGGGCCAGGGAGATGACTCAGAGGTGCTTGCTGCCGAGCCTGATGACATGGGTTCAATCCCCAGGGCTCACATTGTGGAAAGACAAAACCAACTTCCTGCAAGTCCTCTGATTGCCAGATATGGGCTGGGGTATGCACACGCCCCCACACAAACACAAATATTTTTAGAACATTTTTAATGATCTCCATGTCAAATCGGGAATGATTGTGCATACTTGTAATCCTAGCACTTGTGAGAGGCGGAGAGGTCAGTTCACAGTCATTCTCAGATACATGAATTCAAGCCTGAGCTACAGGAGACTCTCTCAAAAAGACAAAACCGAAAACTGTGTTGAACGCAGAGATCAGCAAGGGGCCAGTATTGTGTTTTGCTAGTATTCCCATTAAAGTTTTGTAATAGTAACCATATTTTGATTATAACTCACCATGACCTGGAAAGGTTTTGAAGTGGGGATCCTGTCGGCGTCCCAGTGTGTCCATTTTGAGTTCCAGATTGAATGTGTTGGAGCACGCCCTATTTCTCTGATTCTCTTAACGTATTTATCTTCATAAAGCTTGGCCACCTCTAGCGGACCAGCTTGAATGGTCTCATATATGTCTGCTCTCTCCTTTTAGGCAATTAATTTGATAACGTGTGTTGATGGCTCTAAGAAAGCCATCCCTCTCAATGCTTTCCACAGAGAGTGATTCTGAGGAATTGCCCACGTTTGCCTTTCTGAAGAAGGAACCACCTTCAGCTGACAGGAGTCAGCCTCAGAGGGAGAATGTGGTGGTCCCCTCAGATTCTGAGGCCTCCTGTCCTCTGTCACCAGGCTTGGAAGATCCACCATTTGTCCTAGATGCAGCTGAAGCTCCCACACAAGCAGGGCCAGTCAGAGTGCTAAGCAGTGGAAGTGAGGATGAAGATGTCTTTGTCCCCCTGGCTGAGCGGATCACATGTAAGTTTTTGACACACAAGCCGCTGAGCCTTGAGCACTCCAGCTCCTCACTTAAAACTGTTTCGGATCATCAAAATAATACAAGTGGACCATGTGACTGGAAAAAGCAGCCATTTCCAAAGATCCCTGCTGACGTTCCTCTGCGCAGTGCCTTAGAGAAGAGCCCAGCAAATGACGGGGACTCTGTCTTACACAGTCTATGCCATCAGCTTCCAGATCACCAGTATACCTGCAGCGAGTTGGCAGTAACTAAAACAATTCCTGACATCCCTCTACCTCAGAAGAGAACCAAGCGCAGTCAGAAGGTCCAGAGAAGAGGCTCTCGGGGAGGCTGGCAGCCAAGCCAAGCAAGCAGGAAGGAAAACACCCCAAGGCCGTCCGAGAAGAAAAAGAAGGCAGCGATGGTCGATAGGCTGAAAGCCCAGAGGCCGGAGGAATGCCTGAAGCATATTGTGGTGGTGCTGGACCCAGGTTCTCCCATATTCCAGCTCCCCCCTGAGCCCGGTTGTCTGTGTCCTGGACTCCCCCATGACCAGTCCTTTCCAATCTATTGCAGTGCTTTTAGAGATGGAAGGTGGGGGCCAGCTCCTGGGAGCACTGCAGTCCATGGAGTGCAGCTGCGTGATTGAAGCCCAGGCCGTGCCCCGAAGTATCACTTGGAGGAGGAGGATAGAGCTGGTAGAGGTACGAGCTTCTGGCTGGAGACTCCTGCCCCTTCACCCTCTAGGACTGCCGCACTGCCCCTGGTTGAGACTGAGTGACTCAGCTGTTACTGTCCCCAAGTCTGAAGGGATGAGGGGAGGAAGTGGCGAGCAGAACCCAGAAGAATGAGAGGGCCCACACTATGACGGGCAAGCCTGGGAAATGAACCGGCAGGGTTCATTCTCTTTCCCCTCCAGCGTACCACTCAGGTTCCCAGCTGGGAGCCCAGGGGCCTGGGGATCCTGTGATGTCCAAGTGTAGTTAAGCAGAGTGGGACAGGGGAAGAGAATCTGTGTGCTTTCCCTAGTTCTCTAACTGGACTTGGGGATTGGAGCAACTGTGTTTAACTCCTGGCTTGACTTCCGGACTCTGCAGTTTACTTCAGTTGCCTGTTGTAGAGTGAGGCCACTGGTAGCATCACTTTCCCCTGTTGGAGGGTCTAAGTGAGGTATCCTGGCACTAGCATCTGGTAGGCTTAGGGCACATATTCATCCTCCAGCCCGGGGTCTCACGGTGCTGTACTGACTGTTCCCATCATCCCCGCTATCTGTGAATCCAGACACTCTACCCTTCAAGAGTTTAGAAATGAAACATTAAGATGCTCGTCTCCCTCTCCTTTGTCCCTCATAGCTCTCTCAGTAACTTAGGACAGTCACCTACACATTTAACTAGTATTATTAGCAAAACTATATTCATAGTTGGGCATGGTGGCACACGCCTTTAATTCCAGCACTTCGGAGACAGAAGCAGGTGCATCTCTGAGTTTGAAATCAGCTTGGTTTGTATATAATGATCAGGCCACTATATATTGAGGCCCTGTCTCAGAAACAAACAACGAAACCTCTTTTCTTCACAGAGCAGTTTGTCTTTGAAGACACTCTGCACGTTCTCTCGTCTTCCGATCACAGCTGTCCTGAAGGCTGAAATCTCCACACTTCCCAGATAGAGACATGGGATCAGAAAAGCTGAATGCAGGCTTCCGGGTCACAGCTGGAACTTGACCCCAGAGCTCCCCCACTTGCACCCTGCTATGTTAGGAGTCTTGCATTTGGGTTCTAGGGACCGTGAGAAAACTGCCCAAGTCTGGCTCCCAGTCACTCTTCAGCACCCTGTTACTGTGGGGTGGTTGACCCTGAAGCACCTTGGCTTTGACTGAGCCCTTGGTCTGATGAAGGTTTTCTTTTTTATCTTTTCTCCCTGGTGCTGCTGGGGATGGAGCTCAGGGCTTCATGTGTACTAAGTAAACACTCTACTTGAGCTACATACCCAGCACCAATGCCCCCTTCTTTTCTGTTCTAAGATAGGGTCTCTCTATGTAGTCCTGGCTGGCCTTAAACTCAAATCCACCTGCCTCTGCCTCCCAAGTGCTGAGATTAAAGGCATTCGTCACCATGCCTGGCAATCCTTTCTTATTCTTGTTTTTAAATTTAGTTTATTTTTGAGACAGGGTCTCTCTGTGTAGCCCTGAGTGCCCTGGAACTCTCTATGTAGACCAGGCTGGCCTCGAACTCACAGAGATCTCCCTACCAATGCCTCCTGAGAGCTGGGATTAAAGGTGTACGCCACCACTCTCGGCTTTAAAAATGTATTATTGTTGTGTACATGTGTGTGTGCTGTGGTGCATGTGTGGAGGTCAGAGGACGACTATGTGGCATCACTTCTCTCCTTCCACTTTTACATGGGTTCCAGGCATCGAACTCCAGTCACCAGGCTTGTGTGGCAAGTACTTTTAGCCACTGGATCACCTTACCCACCCTGTTCATATTCTGTCTCTGAGATGCAGTGCGCCAGCCCTGAACAAACAGTTGAGGGGGAGGGACCGGATCACAGGTAGTTTTTCTTGCCACCATGACATCATCCAAGAAGGAAAAGCTATTATTCCATAGGGCCATTCACCCAGATCCAGCCCACCCACAGGTAGCACAGCTGCTGACCCGCCCTTTGCTGTGTTCTCGGGTCTTTTGCAGGATGGAAAAGACTGGGTGGAAGAGCCGACCATCCTGGTGTTGCTCCTGGCAGAGGCCTTCATGTCCATGGTCAACAACTTAGAGCAGGTGTGCGGGGCGGGGCCAGGGGGTAGAACTGAGGCATAGAATGGTGCCAGCCTCTTCCCAAGGAGCCAATGTCAATGCCCTTTCTGCCACTATGCAGGGAAGTCCAGGCAGCACTGAGAAAGGGAAGGAGACAATTCGGGGCTTTGTAACTGATGTCACAGCAAGGACAGGGAAAGCATTGTCACTGGTGATTGTGGACCAGGAGAAATGCTTCAGGTATGGATATGCCCTATAGGCCTTAAAGGGGCAGTTCATGGGTTATCAAGGGGCAGCTTATTCACCCTGGCTATGAGGTGTTCTGCAAGGTGGTGACCCTGCCAAGCGTGGGCTATGCTGGTCAATTATCTCGCAACACTTGCCTGGCTCAGTTTGGGGCTGCTGTTCCAGGGCTCAGAATCCTCCAAGGAGAAGAAAATCAGGAATGGCAAATAAACAGGCCAAAGAGAAGCAGCAGAAGAAACAAGAGTCTAGCACAAGGCTCATGATGTCCAGGGTAGACATGGAAGAGGTAAGGAATCCTGTTGCCCAGGTCAGGTGAGTGCTCACTGGTTATCTAATGAGGTTTCCAACTGAGATCAAATAAAAGGCACACTAGCACTTGTCTTCCTTGGATTGAGTAGGAAAGGGATAAATAGAGCCAAGAGGTTGAGTGTAGCTTTAGTGAACATTGAGAAGACTTCCGACCGGTCTCTCCGCTCTTCTAGTCTATTGTTTATTGTTGCCCTTGGGTTCCTAGGCTTTGGTGGATCTGCAGCTACACACAGAAGCCCAGGTTCGGATGGTGCAGAGCTGGAAAGAGCTGGCTGACATCGCCTGTGCATTTACAAAGGCTGTGGCTGAAGCTCCCTTCAAGTGAGTGACCTAGCTAGCCTCCCCACCTCCACCCTCTGCCCACGCCAGGTCATGCTTTTTCCCTTGGTTCTAAACTGCCACCGGCCCAGTGTCTGTTTTTAGGCAGAAGCCTATCTTAATCTGGAGATTCTTGGCAAAAGCCTCAAATCTAGGGAGCTGGAGAGATGGCTCAGAGGTTAAGAACACTTGCTGCTTTTGTACAGGACCCAGACTGTTCCCAGCATCCACATGTCAGCTCACAACTGTCTGTAAGTCCAGTTCCAAGGGATCTAACACCCTCTTCTGGCCTGTGAGGACACCAGGCAAGTAAGTGATATATATATATATATGGAGGCAAATACTCACATATAAAATAAAGACCTCAATTCCAGCCCTTTATAAAAACTCTAACTTAGATGTAAGTCTATTGTATAAGTTGATGCTGGATTACTAGGATTCATTCAGGTCAGATCCTGAGTGATCCAAGTCAGAACTGAAAACTCAGGGACCTCAGAGACAGCCCTGTCCAGGTGCTTTATTTTATATTGAGGGAACTGAGAACCAAATGAGTCATCTAAGCCTCTAACAAGTGAGAACCAGAAACAGATTTCAAATTGCCCAATTCTCAGTCCCCTGTGCCTCCACATCAGGGAAAAAAACCCAATACCTTCTCTAGTGAAAAGGACTAGATGCAAGCAGGGGTTGTTTTTTAATCTTTCTGCATGTGTATATGTGTGTATGCACGTGTATGAGAGTGTGAGCAATAACCTCAGGTACAGACCCTTACCGGAAATGCAGGAACTCCTTTGCCACTGCGTATGTAGGGACAGCTGTCCTGTGACTCCAGGGATCTGTCTCCATATCCCATAACCCTCTGGAGGTCTTGGGTTCCAGATGCAGCGAGCACTTTACCCACTCACTCATGCCCTGAGGCCCCAGATGCGATTTTCTTTTCACGTGTATGGAGGTTTTGCCTGCATGTGTGCATGACACATGTGCAGTGCCCAAGGAAGGCAGAAGGGGGCACCAGAGCCTTTGGAGTTGGAGTCCGGTGGTAGTGAGCTGCCATGAGTGCTGGGAGAGCAGTCAGGGCTCTTAACTGCTGAGCCCTCAGCCCCACCCCACCCCACCCCCAACTAAATGCAATTTTTAAGGGAACCTTCAACCAACAGGGTGGCTGAGAACAAAGACTCAAACTGGCCTGCTGTAACACCGAGTCTACCTCCAGGTCACTGGAGAACTTTTCAGTCCACAGTTGAGGGGACAAATAAGTAGGAGGGAGGAACTTAGGTTCCCAATGGTGCTCTTACAGGAAGCTCCGGGATCAAACCAGCTTTTCCTTCTGCCTGGAGAAAGACTGGGCTGGAGGGATGAAAGTGGACCCAGCTGGTAGGGGACTCGCACTAGTCTGGAGGAGGCAGATCCAGCAGCTGAACCGAGTCAGTTTGGAAATGGCCAGTGCTATTGTGGATACCTATCCCTCACCACAGCTCCTGGTGCAGGTATACTGCTATGGGTGGCCTGACTCTCCAAAGTGCCTGAGGGAGGTTTTGTTGAGGGGCCAAGAATGTAGGTCAGCAGTGTGGGTTGTCTGGCCTGAGGAAGGACAGGTTCCCCTGCCTCAAACTGACCTGACTACCCTCCTATCCTGGCTCTTGAACCAAGGGATGGCCATGGATGGGTGGTATGGGACTAAGGGGTCATTTACCACTTCCAGGCGTATCAGCGGTGTTTTTCCGAGCAAGAATGCCAGAATTTGCTGGCTGACATACAGGTACGCCGTGGAGAAGGTGTGACAGCCACCTCCCGCCGTGTTGGGCCAGAACTATCCAGGCGGATCTACCTTCAGATGACCACACTGCAACCAGATCTCGTCTTAGACAGTGTTGATTGACACCCCTCAGCAACAGGCTGTTTCCCCAACCTTGATCCCTGACAGCAGAGAGGGGGCCAGAAGTACGCCCCAGGTACAGTTAGGGATTGAGTCTCCTTGTGGGAACAGAGAAGGCTGAGACACTTGAATCTACCTTCACCAGCATTTACTGGTCCTCTCCCTGCAAGCCAGATGCCGTGGACAACCGACCACCCCACGCTGCCCCAGTCGACCCTCACAACACAGAGGAGAAAGGCAGACCACTCAGACACGGATTTAATAATTGTAGAAATCCAAAGAATAAGCATCAAATCTCGAAGTCAGAGTGAACTCTTGCCTGCGGGTTGGCTTGACTAGGCTCAGCCACTGAGCTGCCTCAACCAGCCAGGGAACTATGACTCGGCTGACTTCTGTTTTCATGATGTCACCATGTGTAGTATGTACTTTATCAATAAAGCATTTATACCAATGGCTCTGGAGCTTGGAGGAAGACTAAAGGAATGTGTAGTGATTCTGAGGAAGATGTGGACCTACACGGCAGAGCTATCTGGGGAGGAGAAAGCAAAGGCCTTTCTTCCAGTGTCAGGACAGTTTTGAGGGACAGACCTATCCAGATGGGTCACTAGGGTACTCTCTGAACTATGACAGAACTTGGTCCCTTAGGGGAGAGTCAAGGAGCTTGCAATTGGGGAGTTTTTAGCAAATAAGCACCGAGACACAGTTGTTTCTGATCCTTCATCCAGCTGCTGTGAAGAGACAAGGGAAAGGGGAGCAAAAATGCGTTCGGTAGCAGCAGGAAGGCGGGTGGTGCTGCCCTGGTTTGTGCTAACGTTTAATTGTGTATGTGTACCACTCTACAGCACCACCCTGTGACTCTGTTTCCCTTTGGCTCCCACTTTTCTACTGCCTTCCCTTCTGTTACAGGTCCAGATCACCTCTAGACCTGCTTCTTGGAAGTCAAGTTTCTAGGCTGCCTCTGAGGTATTTCACCACACCAAGTACTAGTGGAACTGTCCCTGAGCAGCTTTTGCAGAGATCTGCCTCTGCTTCCAGACCACCAGGGAGTTAATGCTCTAAACTGAGGCGGGGAGACTGGCCAACTGCCATTTTGTGGAAGCCATTTAAATTGAGGCAGAATTCCACAGGAGCTTCCCAGGACCCTGACGGTATGAGATCTACTTGTGGGTAGCAGGCCTTGTCTATTATGAAAGACTCACTTTGGCTAAGACAATTCTAGTGAGAGTTCATTCTCTTGGGTGTTATAAAGGAGGCCAAATGACATCAGGGAGAGGAAGAGAAGTGGAGTGAGAGGTGGGTCTGCTTTAGACCAGCTAGAACAGTGTAGGCAAGTCATGGACAGCTCCCTCTGCTCTGCCTCAAAGTGTTACACTGGACCAATGGCAGTGAAGTCACCTTCACAGCCGGGCATTTTGTACGTTCCTAAAATGTTGAACTGTCTGAGATCTTTAAGGAAACATTACTCCACCCTCCCACCTTAGGCTACATTTATCCAAGTATTCCTAGTCCCCAGTAACACACTGCCCTCCAATCTGTCCTGGTTACCCAGGAAGGAATGAAAGAAAGGGTTTGACATACAAAAGTATAAATGTAGTGACAGCTGACCATTTGGTAGAAAGGAACCTTGCCTTACACAGCTTGGTGTGACTAGAAAACGTAGGTCTTCTCTCTCCCCACCCCTAAGCCTATTCCTTTAGGCATGCAGGTAACTCTTCCTCCCCTCTCCATCTCTCCTCATTCCACCAGGGAACCCTGACTAAGGAACAAAGAAGTCCTACAAAGGGGAGGCCTCAAGTGCCAATCAGCAGCCATTTGATGATGGCAGGTAGGTCTGACGCTAAAAAGAGGTTGTGTCCAGCAGAACCCAATTCCATAGGAATCCAAGCTCCAAGGCTGGGAGGCAGCGGTGCTGAGGACAAGCTCACTGCTGGGAGTCGGTCTGGAGGACCCACTGGAGGATCTCATGATGGCGCAGGCCCTGGACGGCATTGTCGTAGACGGTGTTCACGCTGTTGCAGAGGGGCTGCTGCTGCAGCCCTGTCATCCGGCATGCAACCAGCCCTCCTGCCACACACATTAGCAGCAAGAGCAGCAACACCTTCAGCACAACCCAGGAGCGTGTGTGTTTCCGGGGTGGTGGCTTGCGAGGACGAGAGCCAGACTTAGATTCTGGAGGGACAAAATAAGTCAGTTTGTAGAGAGCAGCTCTATAATCCATGCAGATCCACTCCCTTCTCAAGTCCATGTTTTAGGAACATCTAAATGAGAGCTAACTCTCCTGCTCTTCAGAGCCCTAAGAACTACATACTACATCTGAAGATGGGATTCATCCTGTTGCCTTCTGTAACTCAGTTCCCAGGGTCTTCCATTCTCTTTGGTAACAGGGAGATAAATGGTTTGGGGCCCTTAGGATCACAGGAAGCTCATGGGGTGTTCAGAAGGGATAGACTGCCATCCACTTGGGGGGATGGGTCCAAACTACTAACATCACAAATGTCACTATTATATAATTTGTGTAAACTAGGTGTGGTGGCACAGGTCAGTAATCCCAGCACTCGGGAGCCTGAAACATCACAAGAAGTTTGAGGACAGCCGGGCGGTGATGGCGCACGCCTTTAATCCCAGCACTCGGGAGGCAGAGCCAGGCGGATCTCTGTGAGTTCGAGGCCAGCCTGGGCTACCAAGTGAGTTCCAGGAGAGGCGCAAAGCTACACAGAGAAACCCTGTCTCGAAAAACCAAAAAAAAAAAAAAAGAAGTTTGAGGACAGTCTGCTATGGTGCAACGGTCTCCAAAGGAAAAACTATGCACAAAGTCTGGGGCAAAATAATGCCTATCTCTAAAAAAAGAAAAGCTTGGCCAGTTGTGGTAGCTCATGCCTCTAATCCCAACACTCTGGAGGCTGAAGCAGGAGGATCACAAACTCAAAGCTAACCTAGGCTACACTTCAAGACCTTTTCTCAAAACATAAGCTCAGGAGCCGGGCATGGTAGTGCATGGCTTTAATCCCAGCACTTGGGAGGCAGAAGCAGGCGGATCTCCAGGTACAAGGCTAGCCTGATCTACAAAATGAGTTCCAAGACAGCAAGGGCTACAGAGAGAAAGACACCCTGTCTCAAACCCCACCCTACCCCCTAAAAAAGATAAGCTCAGAGGGTAAAGCATACCACATTACAAATGCAACCACTCCAACAAGGGATGGTCATGTGCGGCTGCTGTTTGCTAAGATGCACCCCGCCCCATGATCATATATTAATTTCCCTTTTTGTTTTTGAGATAAGTTCTCACTGTAGCCCAGCCTGGGCTCAAACTTACAACCCTCCTGCCTCTGCTTCCCTACTGTTAAGGTTACGAATATGTGTTAACATTTTTTTTTTTTACACATTACATTTATAATAAGAAAATGCTTGAGAATTTTAGGCAGAAAAAGGTGGGGGAATTGGTTTATGTTGGTTTGGAAACAGGGTCTTACTACGTCACTCCAGCTGTCCTGAACTTGATCTGCAGACCAAGCTGGCCTTTGAATGTAGAAATCTCCCTGCCTCTACCTCCCAAGTACCACCATGCCCAATTTAGGCAAGAACTGTATGAGTGTTTTCTCACTTCTCCTTCCCCTGCTGGCAAACAGGTACAGCCCTATCTTTGGCAAACAGGCAGTAGTGACATTAGGTGACCTGCTCAAGGCAAGGACGAACAAGCACAGGAGTACAAACCACCATTCCGTCCCTGCTGCACGCTGTCAACGAAAAGCAAACCTACTTGGGGCCTGATTTGTCTCCTTCTTGGGCTTCTTCTCCTGCTCCCGTTTGGAAGCCTTCTGGGCGTCGTACTCCTTTCGCCGACGCTCCTTCTCCTCTGCCTTCTCCCGCTTCCGCAGCTCACGCTCCTTTGCCTCCTTAGCCTGCTGCTTGGCCTCCCGCTTCTTCTCTGCCTCTACAACACAATATGCAGAGCATGACTCCTCTCACACACACAACCCCCCAGCAGCTTGCCACCCGAGTGATGAAGTGTGGCTTCATCTGACTTTTCCCTTATGCCATGGCTCACACAGACACTGAGAATCCAGATGCAGGAGCATAAGTCTATAATCCCAGCACTCAGGGTGGGAGAGATGCGGAGGGGTGTGTGGGATTATGAGTTTGAGGCTAGATTGGGCTATACAGGGAAAATCTATGAAAAATGTACTCCCAGCTGAGGTAGAGGATCACCTGGTCCAGGCCACCCTCAGCTACACAGTGAGGTGAAGACCATCCTGGGCCAACTAAGTTTCCCTTTAAAAATGAAGTTTCTCTCAGGGTTTACTGAGTCTTATTAAGAGATTCCTCCTTGCTACAAGCGAAGAGGGCATAAGATCTCACTATAGATGGTTGTGAGCCACCATGTGGTTTCTGGGAATTGAACTCAGGACCTCTGGAAAAGCAGCCAGTGTTCTTAACCACTGAGCCATCTCTCCAGTCCCTGATGACCTGAGTTTTACCCCTAGGTCCCATATAGGAGAGAGCAGACTCTCACAAGTTGTCCTCTTACCCCCACATGTGTCCTATGGGCACACAGAGAAAATAACTAAATCGTCAGAAGGCTGAGGGTGGGGGATCCGTAAGCCTCCAGTTTCAGACCAGCCTGGAGAACGACTCCCACAAAAAATAGTAAGAATGCACAGAAGGGGAACGAGCTATAGTGGAGGTATTGGTTCTGTGGGATGAACGTGGGCCAGGGAGGAGGATGGTGAGGTGAGCTCGTGTCAGGGCTTTAGCCAGTACAATCTTTCTAAAGAATTACACCAACTTGATTCACAAAGAATCTACTCAACACAACATTTGCTCAGGTTGACTTTACAGTTCATGTGTGCTTACATGAAGCATCCCACTTCCAAATTATTGGTTCTAAAAATGCATTTTTAAATTAGTCATTTAGAAGCCTGAAATACATGTTTCCAAAGTCAGAATACCACAAAATGGTGGCTTAATGCCCTTTTAGGGCTTGAAAGCCTAGGAGATCCATAACGGAGCTGAACAGTAGCCCCATTGGGACAGTAGCTTCCCACTGTTCCTTTCCATGCGAACAATTGGTGTTCCAGCTGGGCACAGAGAATGCCAAGAACAGGCCACACCCAGCTTCTTGGAACCTGGTGCTGGCAAGGAGTGGACATAGCAGGAGTGAGTTGTCTTGCCATGGCAGTCATGCCTACAGCAAGGACAGTTGTAACTCCTGCATGGTGAGCTCAGGGACTGCCAGTAGTCAATACTGTACACATCCTTTCTCCCACTGCAGCTTAGAAGTCAGCCAGCCAGTCAAGACTAAAATGCAGAGGGAAGAAAACAGGGCAAGTTCTAATGGCCGCATTATTTTCTTTCTTTAAAGCTTATCTTTAGTTTTATGTGTATAGGTGTTTTGCCTGCATGTATGTCTGTACATCATGTGCACACAATGCCTGTGGAAGCCAGAGGGTGTCAG